AATCTTCAAATCCTCCTCCAACGCATCAAGCATGGTCTCGTAGTCAATCTCCTCCGACTGCATTGTAGTAGACGACGATCCAGTTGACCTCATTGCCTTCAAGCACGTCATTGCCCGAAGCTTCTCTAACTCAACAAGGCCCGTGTGCACTTCATCCAAGAACGCCGCTACTTGATCACGAGCTCCCAACAAATGCTCTCGAGACTCCTCCCTTAATCTACGGTACTCCTCAGACATGATCTCCTCGTGCTCAATGAGATCTCGAAGGCGACCTGCCCGATCTTCCATATCCTGGATTGCTAGGTCCAAGTCCTGGCTGACATGTAGAGCGTCCAACTCTCCAAGCGCAAAGGGTTCACGAGTCCGATCGCCCTTGGTTGCCGTAGAAGCTTGTGGTAGGTCACGTGTTATCCCGGGGGAAGCTTGTAGTGGATCACGTCCCGTCTCTGTGGAAGCTTGTAGTGAATCACGTCCCGTCTCTGTGGAAGCTTGTAGTGAATCACGTCCAGTCTTTGCGTCCAACAGCTGTACTCTCAGAGTACTCAACGTAGAGGAAGGGGCAGAAGGTTCAGCTGGTCGAACGTGAGGATCCCAGTCAAAACCATGATGTCTCAACATAGCCACATGGTCCTCGGAAAGTTTGCCACTGTCCCTCACTGAGTAGCCCACAAGGACAATGCGTTGCCCATCCTTCCATGGAGCCGTCGAATGCTTCTGGTGAGGCTCAAAATAACTCGGACTGTGGGTCACCTCAATGATCTTGCATCCATCATCTCCTTCCACAACCAGTCCACCTTCAGAAAAAGTCGACAAAGCGGTTATCAAACTTTTCCCCACGTTGTGAACATCCTTGTGCTCCTGAGTCAACACATCCACATTGACCGCCACCGCGTTGAACTTAAAGTCTGGCGCGATCTGCTTCAAGTACTTGTTGAACACCATAGTGGACATAGGGAAAGACGTTGTTGCCCTCTTAACTCCAAGCACTCCACCATGAACGAAAGCTCCAGCGGACCAAATTTTTCCATCTCCACCTTGCTCACCAAATCTCTTGGGAACTCTTGAGGTCGTCGGCAGCAAATGCGTAAGGGTCTCCAACTGGTCTGGGATCAAGAAGTCTTCGTCAAGTAGTCCCATCGCATAGTGCTCCGCAGGATGATTGGGATCGTAGGGTCCAACTATCTCCTCATCGGGGTCTTCGTCTTCACGAGTTGCGTCTGTTTTCCTTCGATACCTTTTCACGGGCACTGGAATCACCGCCTCGTAGGTTCCCACATCCACAATCTTGTTGACATCAACCAACCCCGGGCGCACATGCTTTGTAGTAGTGAACGACCCATCCTCGAAGCGCACCACGTGTCCTCCCATAACATCCAACGATGGACCAACGTAGATTCCTGGCTTCCACCGCAAATCCCACGCTTCAGGGTTCTGGTTCTTGCCGTAAGTCTTGGCCCGCAGGTGAATCTTCGTTCCATAAGGTAGCAACGGACTCTCAAGCCCCAAAGTCCTGCTTCGCTGTGCAGCAGCAGCATGAACTCCAGCCGTAGCCCAGCACGCCTTTGGTAAGCCCGAGGCACTCAACAGCAGTCGTATCTCATTCTTGAACCACTTGACTGCCGCCTCCGTCCTCCCATTCTGCTGAGGAGCTTGTCCCTCCGTGTATGTAGAGAGCGCCCCATGTTGGAGAAGCCAGCGCTTGAGAGGCTCAGTACGAAGCTCTCTCGCCCGATCCGAATGAACTCGCTGAACTGGAAACCCCTCACTGCGGACTCTCAGGAACATGCTCTGCACTGCAGCCAAAACATGAGCTGAAGTTCTCCTCCTCAACGGCATGGCGAAGTACAAAACCTTAGTCTCCAACGGCTTGTCAAACTCAGAGAAGATCTTAGCAAACTCTTCGTCGGTGAGGCCCCGAAGCCTGTCATCACCCTTGGGAGGGGGATTCCTCCGATCCCACTCATCATCTAGTTCATCCCAAGCTTCTTCATTATCACCATCGTCGCCAGAAGGAACAGGTCCCACACCAGCGCCATCATCCTCAGGATCGCCACTCTCTTCGGTCTCCTCCAACATCTTCTCATCACGCTCTTGTCCTGGGACGGGATCATCTGGAGGTTCCTGAGGCAGAGTATACGCTCCAACAAGGAGATATCGGTAATCATTGTGGTTTGGGTCTGCGGCCTTGTTGCGAAACGGGCCAGCTATATCCAGGCCCAAACAAAATGCACTGGGATGCCGGATGCGACGGTGGGCTCGCCCTGTAGCCTTGCTCATCACACAGGTCTTGCATTTGCGATTGAACGGAATGTGGTTGTTGAGCACGTGACTTTTCCATCGCTGCAGCTCTTCGTTGGTGAAGCCCTCCAAAAACTTCTTCGGATCGGCGTCGAGGCGCTTCATCCACCGTTCAACTTGTAGACCTTCCGGACTCCATTTCCAAGCTTCCACCGCAGAAAGCACAGTCCTCTTGAACTCCTCGGTCCACACAGAAGAACTCGGAAGCTCAGGCAAGACGGCCGGAAAAACCATGTTCGTCACCAAAGAGGTCCCGGTTTCTTCCAAACACAACTGTTCTAGGACGCCCTTCCAAACTGATCTCACCGTAGGCCAACGAACGAAGTCCTTAGAGCGCAAAGCGTTGAGCAAACGAACGCCCTCGATCATTGCAAAGACTGGTGCTCCAGGACGGTGAGCTCGGGCAGCCTTGGCAACAGCAACTAACCACAGCTGCTTCAGCAACAGTTGAGAGTCACCCTCGCTCCGGCAAGGAGGGGCACCAATGATGCCATCCACCCTTCCTGTAGCCGCCGCCCATAACAAAGCCCGATACACACCAGAGACCTTGAACATGTCATAGGCCATAGATTTCGCGATGTCAATCTCTACCAGCACTCTAGAGTCTTCAAGGGTCCTGAACACCGGGTCCACGCCTTTGCCAGAACCCGCATACAAGTGAACTATCCACGGCGTGTTCATCAGCCTCTTCCGCCTTGTCCTCGAACAGGGAATCGCCTTCAGGTAGTTCCAGCCAGCGCTGTCGGACAAGTCAACTTGCTCGCATAAGGCACTCCTCTCCACATCCGAAAGCCCCATGAAAGGTGAGTCCCGAGCCGTCAGCGCAAGGAGCTGAGATGCACGAGTGCCAGTCATCAAGAACTCCTCCAAATGGGACGCCCACTCCTTGTCCTGATCCCACATCCACAATCTCTTTGGGGTGTTATTCGTGGAATCCCGAAGAGACTGGACCTTGAGCTCCTCTAGCTCGTGGATCAACTCCAAAGCACAAGCTTCACCAACAAGCGGGCACTTTCCCACCACCTGAGGACGTATGATCCCATGTTGCGGATGACGAATCTCCAAGCCCTTCCGACGCGTCCATTGAAGATCACACCCTAAGTCCTGAACCAAAGAGCCGAGGGGGACTATGGGTGCAACATGCGCCTCCTCGGTCGAAGTCGTCTTGAGGAGCGTGCCTGCAGCGTTCTGCGCCAAAGTAATCTCGGAGCCATTGGCCAACTGAACATTCACTCGGTCCGCAACTTGAACTTCCTCTTCTGACGCCATTCTAAATGGATGGCTCGCTCCAGAGTCCAAGAGGCCCGATCGCCCCGTCATAGGACCACACCCATGGGAGACCGCTTCGTTCTCCACTCGCGTAGAAGACAGAGCCATCATCTTCAACTGCCTCATCTCCTTGAGCATCGCATTCGCCTCCATCAAAAGTTGTCGCACCTCAGCTTCTGGAATTGCTGGCATGGTCGGCTCTTCCTTAACAGGCGGCTCTTGACCAACCGCAGACACCGAAGTCGAGGGCACTGACAAAGTAGACGCCGCTGAAGAGGAACCCCCTGAGCTCGCAGGCACCGTTGCCATAGAGGCAGCCAGCTGCGCCACCGCCGACCCCTTGGGGGCCCCTTTTGGAGGCCTTCCACTGGGACTGTTTCCTCCCTTCTTCACAGTGCAAGCTGCCTGCTGGTGCTGGGTCGATCCACAAGTCCAGCATCTGCCAGCCTTTTCCTTCTTCGAAAAGTTGTGGGAGAACTGACAACCATGGCCCTTGCTGCAACCAGAATCTGTGAGAAAGAATTTGCATGGGATCTGACCCTTGCCCTTCGGGGAGTTCGCGGTAGAATCATCAAGTTGTTCACGGATTCCAGAAGCATTCACCGCCTTCAACTTAGTGGTATCAGAAGCCGTAGTAGTCACCGACGCCTTGGCTGGGGCGATCGTCTGCAGCTCCGCAAGGATCGTGTTGTAGTACCTGATCACTGCTGCGCTCTCCGGGCGGCTGTGAAGAGAAAGCTCATTCTTGGTCAGGGCCACCCGAAACTTCACATCTGGATGGGCTTCCAAAGCCCGCTTGGAAATCTGCTCCACACTTCGAAGAAGAACCGAAGCATCCGGAACCGCTATCCCAATGTCCTCGGCTCGCTGCAAGTACCGCCTCCATCGCCGTAGGGCTGTAACGCAGACATGAACATCTTCTCCAACTGCTTGACCTTCCAAGTGTTTGAGAATCATCGTCCTTTCCGCTGAACCTCCCGGCTGGTAGAGCACGTACATCCTATACAACAAAGCCGGGACTGTCGAAATCCTGTGCGTGATGGCTTCGTCCTTCGCCGTCTTCCTCATGGAGTTCAGAAGGAGAGACATGACCTTTCTCTCGAGACGGGACCATTTTTGGTCCTTGAGCTCCAGCGGGATCTCAGGAGTCAGCGAAAGACGCTGCAGCGGCGTGGAGGTTGCGTAGGTGTCGTAGGTGGTCCGCGCCACTTCCAGACAAGCACTAAACCAAAGGGCCGCTCGGTCCGACAAACTCCCAATAGCCTGTTCGGCTTCGTAGATCCAGTCCGAGAACTCCACCGCTGCGTCCGGACCAACATCCGGCATTTGTGGCAAATCCACCGTTCCCTTGAGATCGCCTTCGGGGCGTCCCAAGTACGCTTGCTGAAGCTGGGCCATTCCCTGCACTAGAAGACTCATCGGATCTCCTGCGCTCACAGAGGGGCCAGCCGAACTGTCACGAACCGCTCCAACAGGAGCGCTAGCCTGAGCTGAACCGCCCAGATGTGGCTCCGTTCCAGATCTTGTTCCAGTTGCTGCACCGCCGTCTCCGGACTCCCTTGGGAGACTAACTCCCGGTCCTGGCGGTTCACCTCCAGCGACGCCTGAAACACCTTGTTGTCCAGAAGGATTGCCACGAAGAACTCCCTGGTCGTGCTGAGGCCGATGCTGAGGGATCTGCGCTCCTTCAACAACACCCCGTAGAGGAACACCGGGACTCGGTTGTAGTCCAGGAGGATTTTCAAGGATCCGTCCTTGCTGGCGAACTGGTACTTGAAGAGTTCCACCCTGCGCCACTTCTCGGTTGAACGCAGTCTCCTGGGGCCCCAAAGTCACTTCAGTTCCACCTCCACCCTGACCACCCGAATCCGATGCTTGACCCAGCAACCGACCAACCATCTCACGAAGCTGCTGATTCTCCGTCAACAACTTCTGCTGTCTTTCGTCGTGTTCATGTAGTTGCTGCCTAACTTGTCTCTGCACTTCTGCAACGATCTGCTCTTGGTTCAAAGACTCTCTGGACGAGTTGCTCTGAGGCTGCTGATGAGGAGGAGAGCCATAAAGAAGAGGTGCCCTACGAACCCACTGTGCCATCTGCTGCTCTGCCGAAGCCGAAAACAAACGAGGCCTTGGTGAGGCCGCCGTCCAACTGCCGGGCGGAGTTAAAGAAGAAGGCTGTGGAGGGTCCTCTGCTCTCTGCCGGTTCTCCAAGAGGGGCGTCACGATCGCGCCAGCTTGGTTCACCCTTCGCTGAACAAACTCTCCCAATCGAAACAGCCACATCCCACCTTGTTGAGAAGCTCGTCCTTCGGGAGTTCCCGGCAGCTCCTCTGGCGGAGAGACACTCATGCCACCCACTAGGACCTGCTGAGTAACCTGCTCCACAGTACTTGCCGAACCCATAGGAGGCAAAGGGGCAGGATTAGCAGGCTGGGCAAGAGGACCATAAGCATTCGTAGTCGTGGGCGTTGGGCCTACAGCAGTAGCCTGTGCCATGTTCTGAACAGGAAGCTCATCGCTGGTACGAGTCAGGGATTCAGCTGTTGCAGGAACTGGAAGTACATCCACTCCCACAGGATCAAGCTGTCCTCCTCTCTCGCCCAAAGCATGTCCCTCACTGATCACAGCACTCTCTGCAGGCACGCCAACCATTGAAACACCCCCGCCATTGACCAAACTCTCTCTCTGGCCAACAGCACTAGGAGCAGCAACTGCACCGTAGTCAGGTCCATCCCCTTCGCCTTCCAACGAAGTCGGCATCAACGGTTTTGGGCTCATACCCTGAAGAGCTTTGGGCTCTGGGTAGGCTCAAGGGTTCAGAACCATGCGGCGCGGCAGCTAACCTTTTCGCACTCCGAAAGCAACGTGTTAAGTGATCTCTCAAAGCTGACGATCTTTACAAGTCTACTCTGAGAATCGTGATTTGACTCATGCTCAAGCCTCAAAGCTTGAGCCACAGTACATGTCACCGTCACAACGAAGTGAGAGCTCTTCCACAATTATATATAGTAAATATTTACACAATATTTATCTTACAAACTGACATACTCCCGTCCTTCCTTTCTTCCTTCTTTCTTTCCTTCCTTGCTTCCTTCCTTCCTTTCCTTTCTTCCTTCGATCCTTCTTCCTTGCTTTCTTGCTTGCTTTCCTTCCTTCCTTCCTTCCTTGTCTCCTTGCTTTCTTCCTTCCTTCCTTCCTTCTCTCCCTTCTTCTTTCCTTCCTTCCTTCCTCCTTCCTTGTTTCCTTGCTTTCTTCCTTCCCTGTGTAAATAACAGGACGCGGGGCCAAATAAGAAAAGAGGGCCCCCCAAAAAAAGGACCAAAAAAAATAGGTTCTCCCCTCATATGGCGATTCCGGCTGTCATATACCTTAGACACGCCAAACCAAGTGGGGTTCATCATGTATCTTAAACAGGCCCCCCGATTGGACGGTTCCGGTTTATGATATATATATATATATATAATATATAATATATATAGTTTGGCGATTCCCGCTATCATATACCTTGAGCACGCCGCCCGGATTGGGCGATTCTGGTTTATCGTATACATTTAAACACGGATCTCATTCGGCGATTCCTGCTACCATATACCTTATATAAACACTTTCGACCAGTGGGGTTCATCATATATCTTGTACCTTCGTGGTGGACAAACGTCTATCATGGACGCGAGCCGCACTCCCGAACAACGCGAACGGGTTGCAGCTCCGAAAGCAGCTCCCAAGGCACCAGCACAAGACCGAGATTACCTTCCAGGATGGAATACCAACTCCTACCACCATGCCAAGGGCAAAGGGAAAGGGAAAGGTAAGTCCAAGAATCCCGAGGAGAACCTTCAACAGCGGGACCGCGATGATTCTGCACTTACTCGGCACTGGTACAGGGACAGCACGTGAACTTTGATGGAGCTTTGCGTTGTGACCTCGGCTATGTGAACGTGATCATCACTCACGACTGGCCTTTTCTTCGGTGACTCCTGATTCTGTATGTGATTTCGGGGGATCGTCACTGACGTAGATGCACCCCCCAATTGGGCGATTCCGGTCTGTCATATATTTATATATACTTTGTTTAAACACACTTCTCATTTGGCGTTTCCGGCTATCATATACCTCAAACACGCCCCGCGATTGGGCGATTCCGGCTCCTCATCATATGTTTATATGTATATTTAAACACGCCCCACGCTCGTTATTTGGCGATTCCAGCTATCATATATACCTTGGACAGTCCACACCTCTGGGGGTCATCATATATCGTAAGCAGGGCCCCCCTCGTTTGGCGATTCCGGTTGTCTTATACCTTAAACACGCCAAACAATTGGGTTCATCATATATCTTAAACACGCCTTCGATTGGACCATTCCGGTTTATCATATACATATATATATATATATATATATATATATATATATATGGTACCCCCCCCCCCCCCCCCCCCCAAAAAAAAAACCCACCCCTACATATCCAAAAAGTCGGCGTGAGGCCAAAAGTTACAGATATGAGGCCCCGTAGAAGCCCCCCACCCCAAAATATCCAAAAAGTCGGCGTGAAGCCAACAGTTGCCTATATGAGGCCCTGTATAAGGCCTGTGTTAGTGCACGGGGCCGAGGAACAACTTTGCGGACGAATCTTGGTTCCGAGGCCCAAGAGCGTGTTAGTTAACACGGGCCGTGTTAATTAACACGGCCCCCAGGAACCAAGAACCAAGATTCCTAGAAAACTTTCTGGGCCAATCTTGGTTCCCAGGCTTGGGCCCGAGCCGTGTTAATTACCACGGGCCGTGTTTAATTAACACGGCCCCTAGGAACCAAGAACCAAGAACCAAGATTCCTGAAAAACTTTCTGGGCCAATCTTGGTTCCCGCGCTTGGGCCCATATTGACGATGAGGTCCAGGAACCAAGATTGGTCCAGAAAGTTTTCCAGGAATCTTGGTTCTTGGTTCTTGGTTCCTGGGGTCCGTGTTAATTAACACGGCCCGTGTTAATTAACACGGGCCCGAAAATGAGGTCAATCTTCTCTAGTTGAAATATTTGCTACCCCCCCCCCCCGCTAAGACCCGCAAGAACTAGTAAAAGATCCTGATAATTCACTCCAGCATTCCTACATGTGTTATCCACGCGTGTGCAAAATACGGTGTAGACAAGATAGTCTAGTGAAGTATTGCTGTTATCTGCTTCATAACTAGATTTATAAATATTCTTATAAATATTTGAACAATTTGATACAGCATTACTGCAAATAATGTTCGGAAACTACGCAAAACACAATACAAGCAAGATAATCTAGTGAAGTATTGTTTGGTTGTCTGCCCTGGAGCAAGAAATGTAAATATTCTTATAAAAATTTTAGACAATTTGATGCAGTACTAGCACAATTGCTATTAGGAATTACGCAGAACACAAATATCTAAGATAATCTAGCGAAGTATTAACACGGCATCATACATGTGTTTGTTTGATATAATTCTGCTCATAGCAGGTGGGAGCCCACCTTCCCAACTTCTCCAATTTCTTCACCTATATCATATTTTGAGCCACCCTAAAATTAAACATTGTTTTCCGTGCTGGCCAATATTTCAGACTAAGAGCCACTATATTCAATTTTCCCCTTCCTCACTGCCATATTATAAGAACTGATTGCTTCGTTGGAAGTTCCGCAAAACGTATTTCCGCAATTATTGTTTGTATGAGCCAGCCAAACAGGAACAGATAACCAAACAAACTCCGGAGAAAACATCGAAGAGGAAAAGGAGTGTTTCTAATTGGCACACAGACAGACAAATTTCAATTTCCATCGTAAGCCCTAAGCCCTAAAGACCCTAGACCCTAAACCCTGAACCCTAAGCCCTAAGCCCTAGTCCCGAAGCCCTGGGTGTAGCTTCCAGGTCCCCTTGAACGAACCTAGCTGTTGATTAACTGACTCATTGCACAATCTGACATGATTTGGATGAGAAGCCTGCTGTCTTCTAGAACCATTGACAAGCTAATTTCCCTACATCGGCTTAATCCTTTCCCGTTGTAGGAAGTCACGCCTGAGAATTGAAATTAGTATTGGGCCCGGCGTGCAGAACATTAAGCGGGATTTGGGTTCGGCCTGTTTTGCAGCCCACGAACCCTGAAATTCTACATGTCTGTGGCCTGCGGCCTGCAAGTCACCGCAGCACTACATTCTCGAAACCAAGGCTGCCCGTAATCCTCTAGCTCCTAGCATTACCTGCTCCCACATTTTTACGAGTATTGGCGTCAGATATTACCATCGTGCCAACGCTCAGAGCATTTCGTTTAGCTTGAGTGGTGGTATGAGTACTAGTAATCCGTAGTAGATTTCTCTGCTGGCCACTGATATCACCAGTCCCTCGTCCTGGCTCGTAGTATTCAATGTATCCGTGATAATACTCGCAAAGTCGCTGGCGTGCTACATAGGTTAGTTCAAGCAGGGGCCAAACAACTCGTTCAGTTTACTGTCATAACTTCCATCATAAACTAAATTAAGAAAGCACGGATATACCACTAACAAATATTGCCAGTAAGTTGATTAGGTGACTGGTTAAATCAACGTTTTTGTGCATACATAATACTGTGACATACACTGTGTAAGCACCTGGAATTAGCTAATTCTCTACATTACCATGGTCTGGTCATGTTTCAATCACGGGACAAGTGCATCCATTCACCAACCCATATGTTTTCAATTGCTTGCCTCTGGCATAGGGCTGTCAGAATGCAAAAGGTGAAAAACAATTACTCGGCTTGGCAGCAAGTAGACTAAATGTGTGCTTAAACCGTTTGAAATGGCTAGCTCCTTATCTTGATATAAGCAGAAAATTTAACCGACATGCATTTAGATACGCCCGCATGCAGATTAGAGGCTTCATTTTGGCAATGATAGTGGGTTCCTACACATGAGTTGGACTGATGAATGGCCAAAAGACAACTAGTCTGGCACATGACAAATGAAAATGAAGATCTAAGCACAACACTGTAGAATGGGATGTTTACTTAGTATTTCAAGTATGTAACCTGATTAACCACCGGCATGAAGAAGCCACAAAAAGCTTTCACATAGGTTAACTTTTTGAATGATGCCGTTGTTTGGATTTATGTTGAAAAGAAGCAAACAGGGTCTTTACACACACACACCGGAACAACAAATTTTTCTTGCCTTGGCACTACCAGATTCCTTTATGCGCACATGTATCAGCCTCTGTGCTTGAGACAGGAACGAAATCTGGATGTCATGATGTTTCACAGGTTGGCACAAAGTCGCAGGTTTTCAAATTCGCGAATTCGCAGATTCGCAGATTCGCAGATTTGCAGATTCGCATTTGCAGAGTCTTAGATTCGCAGATTCGCAGATTGTATAGCCTTTGCGATTTGGCAGTCTGCGAATCTGCGATTCTGCGAATCTGCGAATCTGCGAATCTGCGAATCCGCGAATCTGCGAATCTGCGAATCTGGGAATCTGCGAATCCGCGAATCCGCGAATCTGCGAATCTGCGAATCCGCAAATCCGCTGAAGTATCCGTCACAGCGAGGCCCTTTGAGCATCAGATACTTACACGTCGCGTCGCGAATCCCTCAAATTGAGAAGCCCTGAAAGACCCTGAACGTTATTGCAGCTGCATCCATGCCCCGATGAAGTTGGGCAAGTCGAGACTACCTGACAGCAAAGCCTGGGTTTTTTTTGGGGGGGAGGTACCATATTTTGTACCTGCACACACACACGCACACTCTCATCGGTCAGGCTTCTGGGGTGGGTTTTGGAGGGGGGGTAG